TCGGCTAAAAAATGGTCGTTGAACCTGAAACTTTGGCATATTACATAAGTCCATATAACGACTTTGTGTACCAATTTTAAGCGAAATCGGCTGACCTTCATTTCCAAGTCTGCCCCGGTCTCTCAGGCAGAAGCTCTTAAGTCTTGTGTATAAACTGACAAGTCATGTGTAATATTTCTTGGTATACTACTCAAAAGTATTACGAATCACTGTCACTTGTGCAGTATTTCATGGAATATTACCATCAGACCTCTTTCATTCAGACACCATTATGACTGATACTGTTTTATGGACATACCACATGTTATACATTTGTTCAAGAATATATAAGAACACAGGAAATATATGAAGACATGATTGATCATAATTTGCAGTTATATACACAGCTTAAGCAGCTGTGAAATTAGAGCCTGAAAAAAATCAGGCTTGAATGGGATTGGAACCCATGACCTCTGCGACACCGGTGCAGTGCTCTACCAACTGAGCTATTTAGCTAACTGGGCCTGGTTACGATGTGAGTTTGTTATATACACTGTACCCGCAGATGGTCAAAATGCAAGTGAATATAAAAAAATATATATTTGAACTGCAAAGAGAGATATGAAGACATGATCGATCGTCACAGTTATATGTATACAGCTTATAAGCAGCTGTGAAATGAACGCATGAAAAAAATTCAGGCTTGAACAGGATTTGAACCCATGACCTCTGCGATACCAGTGCGGTGCTCTACCAAATATATGATATTTCGTATATTCACTTGTAACAGGATACATATATCTAAACACTATCTTTCTTTTCAACAACTTAAATTTATTTAAGTCTTTTGTGTTGACATGTCTTGTACGTGGTATTAGCATGGAGTAGTATAAAATAAACTCTGGGTTTATATTAATTTTTATAATATAGCGAGGACCCTGCACATGCTCTGATTGGTCAAAAATCCATGTTATAACATAGAAAAAATGTGTTTTATTGTTTTTTGCCACATTACCTCTATATCATAAAGCAAATGAAGAAACCTAAACCATGTATTACACTCTGATAAAACACTCCAGACATTTGAGAACACTTGAGAAATGTAGTCTGAAAACACGAGCTGCAGGCTACATTTCTAACTTGTGTTCTCAAATGCCTGCCATGTTTTATCACAGCATAATACACGGCTTAGGCTTCTTTATTTGTTAAATAAGGCATGAAAGTCCTTTAAGGTATTTGTAGTGAATTGGATAGGAGAGATTGACCACACCACAACTAATCTTTTATTACCGTATGTATTTATAAATGTCTTAATAGATGATCAACAATTTTATATTCACTTGCAATTTCAGGCTTAAACTTCAAAATATTATCCAGAAATTATCAGAACATTGTGACATAAAAAATCCTGAAGAACTAGAGACTATTATTGTGAGTATTTTAGTATACATTTTAGAAGCATTTGATTCAATGATATATTATATCAGTTCTTTGTCATATTGTTTTGTATGGCTAAGTGAATAAATAAATGTAGGTCACCAAGGGGACCACACCTAATCCTGTAAACATCAAGATTAATTATTCTACTGATACATCCATTTGCTGGTCTCTCAGACATCATATGTTCATTTGTGTAATATTCTGTTACACCCCTGCAAACAAGGAAACTTTTTTCCGTAGATGTTTTACTTTTTGCATATTTGCAAAACATTTGTTGTGGAAGGAAATTTTGTTTTAGAGAAACATGAAATGTTTAGACTGAATTCTTCTGACACATTTTGCTTTCGTAACAAGACAAAATGGGAAATTCTGTTTTTGCAACAATTTAACAAATGGTAAATGCCATAGCGTGTACTATTGAGTTATGGATGCACGCGGGAGGTTGCTCAGCACGAAAGAAGTGTAAGAGTCGCATGAGGCGATAGCCAAGTGCGACTCTAGCTTCTTGAGTGCTTAGCAAACCTCCCAAGTGCATCCATAACTCAATTGTGTACGCT